TAATCTAATGGTATCTAAACTCATCTATACTCATCTAAACCCATCTAAAACTCATCTAAATTTATTTAAATTCATCTAAACTTATCTAAACTCATCTAAACTCATCTAATCTCATCTAAACTCATCTAATCTCATCTTACCTAATCTAAACTCATATAAACTCATCTAAACTCATCTAAACTCATCTAAACTCATCTAAACTCATTTAAACGTATCTAAACTCATCTAAACTCATCTAAACTCATCTAAACTTATCTAAACCCATCTAAACTTATCTAAACTCATATAATTTCATCTAAACTCATCTAAACTCATCTAAAGTCATCTGAAGTTATCTAGAACTATCTAAACCCATCTAAACTCATCTAAACTCATTTAAACTTATCTAAACTCATCTAAACTCATCTAAACTCATCAAACCTTATCTAAACTCATCTTAACACATCTAAAATTATATAAACTAATCTAAAGTTGTCTAAACTAATCTCAACTCATCTAAACTCATCTAAACTTATTTAAACTTATCTAAACTAATCTAAACTGATCTAAACTTATCTAAATCATCTAAACTCATCTAAAGTCATGTAAACTCATCTTAACTCATCTAAACCTATCTAAACTCATCTAAACGCATCTAAACCTATCTAAACTCATCTAAATTTATCTAACCTCATCAAACCTTATCTAAACTCATCTAAACTCATTAAGTCATGTAAACTCATCTTAACTCATCTAAACCTATCTAAACTCATCTAAACGCATCTAAACCTATCTAAACTCATCTAAATTTATCTAACCTCATCAAACCTTATCTAAACTCATCTAAACTCATTTAAATTATATAAACTAATCTAAAGTTATCTAAACTGATCTAAACTTATCTAATCTTATCTAAACTCATCTAAACTCTTCTAACCTTATCTAAAATTATCTAAACTCATATAATTTCATCTAAACTCATCTAAACTCATCTAAAGTCATCTAAAGTTATCTAGAGTTATCTAAACTCATCTAAATTCATCTAAACACATTTAAAATCATCTAAACTGATCTAAACTTATCTTAACTCATCGAACCACATCTAAACTCATCTTAACTCATCTAAACTTATCTAAACTTATCTAAACTGTTCTTAACTCATCTAAACTTATTTAAACTTATCTTAACATAACTAAACTCATCTAAACTCATTTAAACTTATCTAAACTCATCTAAACTCATCTAAAACTCATCTAAACTTATCTTAATTCATCTAAACTTATCTTAACTCATTTAAACTCATCTAAACTCATCTAAACTCATCTAATCTCATCTACACTTATTTGAACTCATCTAAACTCATCTAAACTCATCTAACCTAATCTAAACTCACCTAAACTCATCTAAACTTATCTAAACTTATCTAAACTTATCTAAACTCATCTAAACTCATCAAATCTCATCTAAATTTATCTAAACTTATCTAAACTTATCTAAACTCATCTAAACTCATCTATACTTATCTTAACTCATCTAAACTTATCTAAACTTATCTAAAGTTATCTATACTAATATAAACTCATCTAAACTCATCTAAAAACATCTAAACTCATCTAAACTCATCTAAACTCAACTAACCTTATCTAAACTCATCTAAACTCATCTAAACTCATTTAAACTTATCTAAACTCATCTAATTTCATCTAAACTCATCTAAACTGATCTAAACTCATCTAAACTCATCTAAACTCTTCGAAACTCATCTAAACTCGTCTAAACTCATCTGAACTTATCTAAACTCATCTAAACTCATATAAACTTATCTAAACTCATCTAAACTCATCTAAACTCATCTAAACTTATCTAAACTCATCTAAACACTTCTATACTTATATAATTTTATCTAAACTCATCTAAACTCATATAAAGTCATCTACAGTTATCTAGATCAGGAGGCGTGGGCCACCGAATCCCTCGACATTACCCAGGGAATAAGTCCACTGTGACGCGTCCTGCGAGGGCAGACATGGGACGTGCTCGGTACCAGCAGTAAATAAAACAGCACCTAAAGGCCTGCCAGCTGTGACAATTCACAATAGGAAGTAAAGGCAGAGACAAAGTAGGGATCATGATTACAAGTTGCCGTTGATGGGGATGAGGCGTGAGGCGAATGTGGTAACTCTAAACGATGATTCTTTTATGCAGCCCTGAGAAGCTTCTCCAAGGCAACCGTTTCGTCCCAGCTACTTCGCAAATTAGTTGCTTTGTAGAAACCCCCTGTAGAAACTCTCTTAAAGTGTGTCCAACACTTTCCCGGGATAGGTGGGACGTGTTAGGACGTAATTTACCATCCCAACTCCTTGGAAAGTCGATCGCGTGCACTGTGTACCAGCACAGTGTCGGACCGACTGGGTGTCTTTGGGTTGGGGCGGCCCCCAGTGGAACCCAATCGAGTGGACTGGGCTGTCCTGGCAAAGCGACATCTCCAACGTGCCGCTTCGCGGCCCGATACCGGGCTTAAGGGGGTTGCTTTTGGAGGGCATAAAGAGCATTAGCTCGACTGCCCGCTGACGCCATTTCTTAATGTGACATTTTAGTAGGAAAGTGTTAGGGACTGTTTGGGAAAATCCTCGGGAATGATAGGTGATGCGATGGGATCTGATTGGGGGTGGTTTGAAAACTAGACAACAAGTGCCGTTTTGTTGGCCAAGACCTAGAGACTGATTTGAAAATGAATGTGGTCTAAAAGGCAAAATTTGTATCTGATTGGACAATGATATTTCATTTGGCAAAAGATGGACTGTCTCTATTTTTAAACTATAGCAAAAAGATTTTTGTTCTTAAAGTTTGATCGATTAACTTGTGTGTATTTTGTTTAGTTATTTTAATTTTACACAGACATGTTTCAAATGTTCATTCTTTGATAATTGACAAAGAATTATTAAAGGAAATATAACTCCGGTGAATGAGGTGAAGGATTAATGGGCAGAGTTACGAAGAATGTGATGTCCATGAGGACGACGTGTGACCACATTCTGCGTGTGTGTACTGTTACTCTCTAACCCAAACAGCTTGTTTTCATGAAACCGTGTCATAGACTCAAGTATCTGTACGCGAGGCTTACTGGCGAGGTCATTTGGGTTTACTCCCACCACACACTCACACAAAAACACACACGCACACACGCAGATACGCTAGCACGCAATGGCACACGCACGCACATACACACTCTCACACACACACACTAACACACGAAATCAGACACATACACAAACAGACAGCGTGGAAATCAATAACTGTTTCTATATTATGATAGTTTTAATTGCGCGAGCGACCGAATAATTGCTTTGTTTTGTACTTCCATATTTGGGTTTAGGTCGTGTGATATCCTGGAGCAGGCTTGTCAATCATTTCCTAACCTACTTGCCAGCAGAAACATGATATAATTGCTACGTGACCGTCCATCGGCCCCCACCCCCCACGTGAAGGTTACGTTGGCCTTAATACAAGGGTGTCTTTTTGAAAAAAAATGGGGGGGGGGGTCCTCAAAATGATCAATGGAAGGTATGGTCAAACAATTTAAGTGTATGATTACACAGCAGACGTGGCTGGTCAAGCATGTAGGAGAGATGGTCAATGATCAAATGGAGAGGATGATGACCTAACTTAAGTTAAGGGAATGGTCAGTTCTTGTTCAAGTGAAAACATCACAGTTGATCGGTGGTCAGTTCCTGTTGAAGGAAAGAACATGTAAGGTAATGGGGTGGTCAGTTCCTGTTGAAGAAAAGAACATGTGTTAATGGTATAGTCAGTTCCGATAGAAGGGAAGAACGTGTATGTCAATGGGATGGTCAGTTCCGATTGAAGGAAAGAACATCATGTTAATGGGATGGTCAGTTCCGATTGAAGGGAAGAATCAAAGTTAATGGCATAGCCAGGTCCTGTTGAAGAAAAGAACATGTACGATAATGGGGGAGGGCGGGGGGCAGTTCCTGTTGAAGAAAAAAACATGTAAATTAATGGAGTGGTCAGTTCCTGTTGAATAAAAGAACATATAGTTTAATGGGATGGTCAGTTCCTGTTAAAGAACACCCAAGTTAAGGGAATGGTCGTCCCACGATAAATATTAAATGTTGAGTGATCGTCAAATAAAACAAAGGGAGAACGTTCTCATGAAAGTAAATATTAACTCTTGAAACCATTTTGCTAAATCTTTAAAAAATAAAGTTAAATATTGACGTTGGAGAGTAATAAGTAATAAATCTGGTTTGTTTATGTCAAACAGAATATCTGTTGCTTTTTTTCACGAATTGTCACTCGTATTTACGTAGTTTATTACTGAATCCAATGTACTTTTGATTGGCTCTGTGTAAAAACAACTTACAAAATAATCCTGTATTGAGTTTCCAAATGTTTTAGAACACGTCACGAGTGGTACGAATTCATTTTTCTGCGCATTATGGTACCTCGCATTATCCGGAATATGGCCAGATGTTTGAAAGTTTTTTGGAGGCCCTGGCAAGAATCCCTCAATGTTAGGTCGAAAAACAAAAGGCGAAAGTGACAAAGGTGTAAAGATCTACGTTCCTTTTTTGTCCAGCCCAGGGGACACCTTGATGGCCCACTCTGTCCAGCCCAGGGGGCAGCTAGATAGCCCACTCTGTCCAGCCCAGGGGGCAGCTAGATAGCCCACTCTGACCAGCCCAGGGGACACCTTGATGGCCCACTTTGTCCAGCCCAGGGGACAGCTTGGTGGCCCACTCTCTCAAGCCCAGGTGACACCTTGATGGCCCACTCTGTCAAGCCCAGGGGACAGCTAGATAGCCCACTCTGACCAGCCCAGGGGACACCTTGATGGCCCACTCTGTCCAGCCCAGGGGACACCTTGATGGCTCACTTTGTTTTTCATTGAAATAATTGAACCCGGATCAAGCCAATTTGATATTTACCTATCGTGATCTGCTTTAAATGAAGTATGACACCTCCATGCTATATAACAAGAGAGCCAGAAGGGGTGCTGTACTGTCCGACCTGACTTTGACTAAGATACCCCACAAGAGTCAACCTGTCAGATACAGATTGTTTACTGAACGGTCTCAGGAACAGAAGATTTGCTAAACCAACATGATACTTCCTGCTATGATAGCTTCATGCTTTGTCGTACTGGCCCTTCAGATCTCTGTGAGTAATAGATATGCATCTTTTTACTGGTCCTGCAAATCTCTGTAATATATGTACATTTTTGTACTGGCCCTTCAGATCTTTGTAATAGATGTCTATTCTTGTACGGTGTCCACAGATATATCTATGTACATTGTTGTACTGGTCCATCATATTGGTCAAGTATTTTTTTAAAATATTTTACTTTAGGCATCTTTTCTTTAAACGCACTATTTTGAACTACATACATTGCAAGCAGTAATCCTTTGTAAGTTTCCAGTGGATCGCCGCTTGAATCTCGTTTCAACATGTCCATTATGTAACATGTTATTCGTCCATTCTTACTTACAAACCCAGTCATATTTTTACGCAATGTAAATTATTATTATGGATCAGCAGTCAGAACGCAAACTAGGTTGATGGATGAGCAGTCAGAAAGCAAACTGGGTTGATGGATTACCAGACAGAAATCTGGCCTAATGTCAAATTGACAGTAAAAAATTTAGTAGACCATTCGACGTTTGGAGGCACTTTGTAACTTTTCGGTTGTGCCTCCCTTATTCAAACTTTTGGCCCTTTACATAACCGAGGAACCCAGAAGACGGAAGTTGTTTTGTTTTTTCATTCCGCCTTGAAAGCCCAGATGAAAAAAAAAATTGAGATTGGACAGACCTTTTTAAAATTTAAAAAAAAATAAATTAAAATTTAAATGATGAGATAATAGTAAATAACATTTCATTTGTTGCCTCTTTGGATTCATTTTAGGGTAACCTTGGCCAGAATGCTGATGACAAGGACGCTGAGGTCAACAGGATTATTGCTTGCAACGAAGATGTCTTGGAAAAAGCAAAGTCTGGTATGTTGTAATACTGTTCGCAATCAAATATAATTTCTCTACATTGAGGCCAATAAATCGGGGACTGAATATCACAAGATTTATTATTAGGGTTTAGATGCATAGTGTGTCACATATCAATACAATATTTAATAAAAATGAAAATTTATCATTTATGTCTGAATTTTTTCTAAATATTTGGTAGTTAGCTATAATGTTTGGTAGTTAGCTATAATGTTTGGTTGTTTGGTAGTTAGCTATAATGTTTGGTAGTTAGCTATAATGTTTGGTAGTTAGCTTTAATGTTTGGTAGTTAGCTATAATGTTTGGTAGCTAGCTATAATGTTTGACCAAAGTAGGCACAAGTTCATCTTTTGTCTGCCTCATTTTACCTTTTTACCCTTAGGATATCCAACGATAACCCGTAGAAGTGATTATGTTGACTATGTTATACCCTAAGTAGTATGGGTATGCAGTGTTTACCATGTTATATCCTTTGTAATAAGGGTATATGTGTACCAAGTTATACATTAGAGGTATCAGTACGCTGTGTTTAACATTTTCAGACCTGTCTACCCCTGGGTTAGTGACAGAGTAGCTTTCAGCTCTCAAAACTTATTTTACAATTTCAAAGAGTGATTTAATCATATCGTGGTGGAAAAAAGAAAATACAAAAAGGGGTGGGGGGGGGGGCTGGTTTTTAATAAAAATACAAGTTGTATCAGGAAATCTACTCCACTTCTTATGTCAGTTAACACAAATAAATATAGAGGCTATAGGTCTCCGATATAATGTTTCTTAAGGATGAGAAAAGGTCTCAGGCAAGCACAAAAGTCTCTAACTGCATAGACTAGGTTTACTGAAGGACGTATCTGAGCTTAAATTCTTGACTATTGCAACACAGCAGTTTGTGTTTGTGTGTGTGTTTTAATAATATGAAAATGAAAACAAGAATGAATTTGTAAAACTAAAAAAAATATTGAAGTAGAAAATACAAGAACAAAATTAAGTTGTATAAACGAATATATTTATTAAAATTATCTGCAATAATGGAAATTTGTCCTCAATTTGCTTAAAAAAAATTTACGATTGTTTGCCTTGATAATACAAAGTTGTGAAAAAGTTTTGTGCATTTGTTTAGTCCCTGTGGGATTCTAGAACATGTATTGATCTACCACTAGTAGAACACATCTCCTCTGAAGAGAAACTATTCTGGTTGGTTCATTGAGATCCAGACCGCAAAGACCAATGACTGTTATTCTTATTCTACTGCATGCGGTGTAAACACAAAAAGAGGCGGTTATTTTTTATTGAAAACACCCAAATTAAACAAACAAAAAAAACAGATATTAAACATAAACGAAACCAACGAAAAAAAACTCTATGATCCTTATTTCTTTTTTTTTTTTGGCTCGTCGTAGTGCCGAAGACATAGGCTTAAAACGTAGTTACTTCGGGGAAAGCGTAAGGGTAGAAAGGTCCGCATGTTATACGCTAAGTAGTAGGGGAACGCTGTGTTCGCCATGCTATACCATAAGTAGTATGGTTACGCTGTGTTAAGCCATGTTATACCATAAGTAGTATGGTTACGCTGTGTTAAGCCATGTTATACTCAATGTGTAACAGGTCATACCCTAAGTAGTATGGTTACGCTGTGTTAAGCCATGTTATACTCAATGTGTAACAGGCTATACCCTAAGTAGTATGGTTACGCTGTGTTAAGCCATGTTATACTCAATGTGTAACAGGCTATACCCTAAGTAGTATGGTTACGCTGTGTTAAGCCATGTTATACTCAATGTGTAACAGGCTATACCCTAAGTAGTATGGGTACGCTGTGTTAAGCCATGTTATACTCAATGTGTACCAGGTCATACCCTAAGTAGTATGGTTACGCTGTGTTAAGCCATGTTATACTCAATGTGTAACAGGTTCTACCCTAAGTAGTATGGTTACGCTGTGTTAAGCCATGTTATACTCAATGTGTACCAGGTCATACCCTAAGTAGTATGGTTACGCTGTGTTAAGCCATGTTATACTCAATGTGTAACAGGTTCTACCCTAAGTAGTATGGTTACGCTGTGTTAAGCCATGTTATACTCCATGTGTAACAGGTCATACCCTAAGTAGTATGGTTACGCTGTGTTAAGCCATATTATACTCAATGTGTAACAGGTCATACCCTAAGAAGTATGCTAAGATAAAAATTGTATGTCCATCGCCAGGTATCCACGCAACGGACCTTGAGACCGGGTTGGCTAAGTGCAGCCAGTTGGTTGACCAATACCTGGACTCACTAGAAGCCAGCGGTAAGTTATCATTGATCAACACTAGGAAACTGACCAATGGTGTGGAGCCATGTATTTATAGAATAACAAAACCCCAAGTAATGATATCCTAACCTCATTAAGTTTTGGGTCAGAGATCTGGTTTTCATATGTGTCCACTAAAGTACTATGAGACTTTGATATATGACAAATGGACTACTACCATCTGTGACATTCACATTTGACCACTGATATCATAATGTTAAAAACTCATTAAATCGCTGATAAAGTGACGTGACAATATCATTAAACAACTAAATTAATGATGTGACGATCTCTTAAACTATGAAATTAATGACGTGACAATATCATTAAACCACTAAATTAATGATGTGACGATCTCTTAAACTATGAAATTAATGTTGTGACAATCTCTTAAAACACTAAATTAATGATGTGACAATCTCTTAAATTATGAAATTAATGATGTGACAATCTCTTAAAACATCAATTTAATGATGTGACAATCCCTTAAACCACTAAATTAATGATGTGACAATCTCTTAAACCACTAAAATAATGATGTGACAATCTCATTAACCTGTAATTAATTTCCGCCTGTCTATCTAATTCATTGTTGAATGTTATATTTGTTTTCAGTTTCCGGACAGAGCATCTACGACCTCATCTCTTCCATGAGTCCCAGCGATCACACGATTGTCGTTTCTTCGGTGTTTGATAGTAAGATAAAGAGCTCTTCATTAGGACATAACTAGTCAATAGAACATACGTATTAAATAGAACACTGCTATTCATTATAAAACTACTAGTCTATAGAACAGAAATATTCCATACAGCATAACTATTCAATAGAGCAGATCTACTCAAATGAAGAAATAACAAAGAGTTATTGAAATGCGACACAAACGATGAATGGAAGTTCTGTGGATGCACAGAGAATGGATGCACAGAGAATGGATGCACAGAGAATGGATGCACAGAGAATGGATGCACAGAGAATGGATGCACAGATAATGGATGCATCCCAAATTAAACAATAGCATTTTAATAGGTGTGCTGTACATGAATTGATCACCATTTTGAACGGAAAAAACGAGTAAGGGTGTTGTAAACCACAAGTGGTACGTGTGTTGCAAACAGGAAATGGTAAGGGTGTTAGTAAACATGAAGTGGTAAGGGTGTTAGTAAACCAGAAGTGGTAAGGGTGTTAGTAAACCAGAAGTGGTAAGGGTGTTAGTAAACCAGAAGTGGTAAGGGTGTTAGTAGACCAGAAGTGGTAAGGGTGTTGTAAACACAAAGTTGTAAGGGTGTTAGTAAACCAGAAGTGGTAAGGGTGTTAGTAAACCAGGAGTGGTAAGGGTGTTTAGTAAACCAGAAGTGGTAAGGGCGTTGTTATCCAGCCGTGGTAAGGGCGTTATAAACCAGCCGTGGTAAGGGCGTTATGAAGCTGCCGTGTTCCTCCACTCATTTTTGAAAATATTCATTCTTTAAATGACATGTCATCTACAGTGACTCAACATGTAGTGTATGGTCTAATAATAATTAGAATCTTCTGATGAGTGTTGCAATGCACACGCTGTTTATAGTGTAAAGTTTGGCGCTGGCCTACAGCACTATCGTACACATAATGAAAGCCTCTAAAGTCTAACTCATTAAAGATCTATGTTTACAGTAACATCAAAGAAGTCTTGGAATATGAGAAGAAGGCTGGAAAATCCAATCAAGCCGCATGTTATTTTGAAATGATTTCATCTTCTATGTTTAGTTTATCTCTGATGACTTCGTCATGATTTCATCTTCTATGTTTGGTTTATTTCTGATGACTTCGTCATGATTTCATCTTCTATGTATGGTTTATTTCTGATGACTTCGTCATGATTTCATCTTCTATTTTTGGTTTATCTCTGATAACTTCGTCATGATTTCATCTTCTATGTTTGGTTTATCTCTGATAACTTCGTCATGATTTCATCTTCTATGTTTGGTTTATTTCTGATGACTTCGTCATGATTTCATCTTCTATGTTTGGTTTATTTCTGATGACTTCGTCATGATTTCATCTTCTATTTTTGGTTTATCTCTGATAACTTCGTCATGATTTCATCTTCTATGTTTGGTTTATCTCTGATAACTTCGTCATGATTTCATTTTCTATTTTTCTGCCATAGATGACTTTGTCGTCGTGGGCAACAAAATCGGAAATTTTTTAACAATGGTCCAAGATCTTGTGAGGAAGATAAGCGGTGAAAAAGGTAACTAAGACACCTTGATTTATTGGTGGTGCACTATAGCTTAACTAAGACACCTTGATTTATTGGTGGTGCACTATAGCTTAACTAAGACACCTTGATTTATTGGTGGTGCACTATAGCTTAACTAAGACACATTGATTTATTGGTGGTGCACTATAGCTTAACTAAGACACCTTGATTTATTGGTGGTGCACTATAGCTTAACTACGACACCTTGATTTATTGGTGGTGCACTATAGCTTAACTAAGACACCTTGATTTATTGGTGGTGCACTATAGCTTAACTAAGACACATTGATTGATTGGTGGTGCAATATAGCTTAACTAAGACACCTTGATTGATTGGTGGTGCAATATAGCTTAACTAAGACACCTTGATTGATTGGTGGTGCAATATAGCTTAACTAAGACACCTTGATTGATTGGTGGTGCAATATAGCTTAACTAAGACACCTTGATTTATTGGTGGTGCAATATAGCTTAACTAAGACACCTTGATTTATTAGTGATGAAATATTATAGCTTAACTAAGAAACCTTGATTGATTGGTGATAAAATATAACTTAAATAAGACATCTTGGCTTATTGGTGATAAAATATAACTTAACTACGACACATTGAATTATTGGTGATAAAATATAACTTAACTAAGACACATTGAATTATTGGTGGAGAAAAAATTATTTAACTAAGACACCTTGGCTTATTGGTGATGAATAAGGCCTTTATTGTAAATATACGATAAGACTATTCAGTTGAATTTCAATTTACTTATTTCACATTTTTCCTAAAGGCGGGGCATATGACGTGTTATTGAACAACAAGAAGAAAATTATAATTCTCTTAACCGAACAACAATGAAAATCCAGGATTTATTTCGCTATCAATTATTATAATTAAAAATATCCATGTCTTTTTTTTAACCTGAATTAGATATTTATATTGACCAACTCTCGACTTCTTTCTCCTTAGTCAATGAGTTGTATCAATGAAGTGTATCATTTATCCTGCACAATCTATGGCAGGTGATACAAATCATTTCAAACAGTCACACATTCCATCAAAATAAACATCTGATTTTAACTTACTCCTCACAGACCCCGAGATCAGGAATGTTTATCTGGCAACCTTGAAATTCATCATTGACTCGATTGTCCGCAGTGTTCAAACAGCTGGTCAGTTGTTAATTGGTTTGCGATTGCGTTGTAAATGACGTGTAGTGATTGTTGTGTAAATGATGTGTATTGATTGTTGTTTGATGGATTGTGGAGAAATTTTTTTTTGGTATAGAGCAGTTGAAACCATTATAGGGTTAGCAGTGTTGTTTAATGTAGTGCAGAGAAAATATTCGTTGAGATCAGTGTAACACCAATTAGGAAAAAAAAAACTCTTTAAGGTGAGGGGTCAGCAAATCAATAACAAATATCAGTGTTTAGAGAAAGATGAAGATTTATTTGAAAATTCATGTTTGATTTGCCATTGAGAAATAGAATAATTTAATTATATTTCTTATTACAATAAATGTACTATATATTTATATTAATAAAGATATAACTCTTAAATGATATCACCATGTACATTTTTTAAGGAGAGATATGTTTTAAAAAAATAAAAGGTGAAATCTGCAATGCACTGCATTATTTTTGAAGCAAATAGTATAACCAGATATGTTAAAATTTGAAAACACTACAATCAGAAGAGCGTTTCGGTGAGACGCCTTCGTCCGGAGACGAAACTTGAAAGGAAAAAAAAAAGAGAAATTCAAAGACTTGGCTTTCACATATCTTGTAAAACTTCCCTTCCCACGACTTGAACACAATCCAGTCCTATATTATGCTAATATGTGTTAATTTAGGTAATGTTATAATACTAATAAAAAAAGGCTTATTTGAAAATCACGCTTCATCCCCAAAGACTCAAAGCGCGTTACAAAGTCATCCATATTAAAAAAAAATGAAAAAAAAATCATAATTTTATATCATATTACTCTCATTAGCTCATTATTTTTTAAACCAGGGATTATTTCGAACAAATATCTTTTCAGAGAGACTCTATCCCTACTATCTGACAACTGGAGATGAGACCAACAGCAACATCAAGAGATCTTGGGAAGTCAAAGGTAAATTCAGTTATTTCTTTAGCCACATAAATTGAACAATGATAAATTCTCATTCTTCAAGTCTTTTCTCAAGTTCTTAGACGGGAATTCCCCATTTAATAACCACTCTGAGAAACAAATGGGACAATGTCAATGTTCTTCTAGAAACGGTGAAGAAAGGATGTGTCTCACCTAAGACACACACAATTATTATTTTTGACTGGATTTAAGCCGCCAAACATTGGCGACAGCCATGCGTGAACTTCAAATCTACTAAAGTTACTGGACAAAACATGAACTCAAGTAACACACATTTAAGAATCCCAATATTACACCCGTTTCCCCCATGATACGTCACTGCACACTTTTAATTTTTGCCCCTGAACTATATTAAATGCTCTGATTCCCAACCAATTTTAAACCAAATATGTATTATAAAATACTTAAATTGAGACAATTTCATTTTCCGAAAAGAAAATATTACGCGCTAAACGCAGTTGCGTTATCTAAAAAAACAACATTTAGCGTAGTTATCGGGAATTATCTTTTACGCGCAACTGAACTCATTATTGAACCATACTTTATTTGAAACATTTATAACTAGAATATATAACCCAATGTTATCGGGATAAGAATGGTAGGTTCTTTAAGATGATATCTACCTGTTATTTCAAAAACTCATCACAATTCCTAACTTTAAAAAGAAACATCTATGTAATGATATTTGAGTCTCTAACATCATTAAGTTTTAATGAGTATTTATCCGCTATATATTATACGCCTACCTTACTATATTTCACGCCTTGTTTTGTCCTCTAAACATGATTAAAATTACCAGTCTATATTTTCACTAATTATATCACTTTGTCACGAAAGAAGTTAATTGAGTTTCGGTTAAGTGACGGTTTCTACGCTAGAGAAATACTTTAGATTCACCCCTTTTCTTGTCATTAAGCTACAACATTTTTGTTTCTCTAAAACTTGTAAAAAACATAATCTAAAATTTACAACAAAAACTCTATGTATTATATAAATATGTTTTATATTAAAGGAATTTGATATAGTAATATCCTATTTAAAAATATAAATAAACTTTTGCCTTGTCTTTTTAATTATACATTATCAGAAAATCGTTTAAAAAAAATTCTTTTATCAAAAGAGCAATCTCGGAACCGTTTTTCACGTCTATAACAGACTTGAATGTCTTTTTTTTTAAATTGTTAATCTCATAAAAATACATATCCTCTTTCCTTTTCGCAAAGTAAAAAATAATATATATTTTCAATTTTTTTAAAAAACATATTAACCCATCTCCATTTTTCTAAATTAAATTTTCTAGTGTGTAAAATGATCAGGGTTTTGATTGCTATTCATGGGTATACTGATATTAATGTAGTCACGTTTTGATGACGTCATGGGTATACTTATATAAATGTACCCACGTTTTGTTAACGCCATTGATATTCTTAATTGGTTAACATATGTTTATTTTTAAAAAGAGAATGAAACATCTCTTTTTTCACAAATGTAATACCATAGGATTTAAATATATTTTCATCCATGTAAAAACGTACACATCCTAGTTCCTACCTCCGATCTGTATGTACCCAAGAAGGTTAATTATTTATCAATTTTGTTCCTATATTTTGAGACGTATCTTGTGCTGCCTGGGGCAAAATGACCAACCCCTCCCCCCCCCCCCACAGATTTAAATAAAAGTAATACAATCTTCCACCGGATTGTAGCCCCTTCCATACCCAAACCAACATATTTTGCACGTCATATGGTTTGTTTGTTATTTGGATGATTGTATGTACCCAAGAAGGTTAATTATTTATCAATTTTGTTCCTATATTTTGAGACGTATCTTGTGCTGCCTGGGGGAAAATGACCAACCCCCCCCCCCCCCCCCCACAGATTTAAATAAAAGTAATACAATCTTCCACCGGATTGTAGCCCCTTCCATACCCAAACCAACATATTTTGCACGTCATATGGTTTGTTTGTTATTTGGATGAGTTATAATTGGATTAGTAAATGCTATTTGGCTATAGAGTTTCTCTGCACCGATTGATTTAAACGATATTTTCTTATTAGAAGTATATTAAAAGGTTAAGTTTTTATTACGTTATACATTTAAGAAAAGTATATTTTAGGAATTTAAAAAAAAAAAAAAAATCCTATTAAATGTTAAAAATACAAAGGTAAAATTTATTTTGTATGTTTTATTAAGAATTAAAAAGCATTCAATTATATTTGTTAATTTTACATTTAAGAAAGGGAAAATACATTATCGATTTTGTAACGCGCGGCTATTAAATGAAAGAAACCAAAGAGTTTTTGCTGAAATAGGCGATTCACGCTATGACGTCATTTGCGTGCTTATTTAGAACTAATTAAATCTTATTTTTATTTCGCAATATTAACAACACACTTAAAAAACGCACTTAAAACAATTGATGTTTGGGTTTTCCCGATAAATGTGATTACTGTGTAATTATTTGCTTTTTTTTTCATGACTTTTGACGCATGTAAAATGCTTAAGATAGTTCCTAATTTTTTGTGTGCCTGAAATGTATTTGTAATTGATAATACTAATACTCAAACTTTTATTAAAATAAATGATAATTCATAATATTTTTTTGCGCATTTCAATTTATTCGATTTCCGTAAAACAATAGAAAACAACTATGATCATTTTTAAGAATCCGAAGGTATTTAAATCTTTTCGGTTCTTGAGTGGTACGGTCAGCCCAGCTCATTCTTATATATGTATTTTTCGTAATATACGAATTCGCGGATTAGGAAGCAGTTTATTTTGAAGCCTTCCATTAGGGAGCAATTCCCGAGTCACACCAGGAGCGTAATATATATTTAATAGATCATAACGTTTTACTTAAATATAGATTATGTTATAGATCACTTGCACCGCCAACTTGTATCATAGAGCACCACATTTTTTTACTGTTATATTTTCTTCTGTTTATCCCAGGGAGCATTAGCACTGGATCCGGTGGTACTAAAGGGAGCGTATCCGCTTCCAAATCATGGGGGGTAAGCACTTTGGGTTAAAACTATTTTAATAGCACTTTGGATTAACAGTAGTTTAACAGCACCTTGGATTACCACTATTTTTATGCCACTTTGGATTTAGAACATTTTAAAAGCACTTGACAAAAGCATTTTTTATGAAGTAATAAATACATGTTTCAAGGGGCTCGATGTAGCACTGCTACATTATAAAGCATCACTGTAATTGTAATGTAAGACTTCACTTTGATGCTAAATCACGCTAGCTGCTTTTGTTTCCGTATAGCTACAACGAGTCAGTGTTTGACTGCAAAGTGCAAGTTGAAAGCTAATATCAAGTCGCAGGACTTTCGTCTTAGCGCTTAATACGTCATGTTAGATCGATAACCCAAATATTTAGCAGTATCTGCGAAATCGATAACCCAAATATTTAGCCCTATCTGTGGTCTCTGATGTTTTTGAAATCTTGATTACAGAGACGGAGTGTCGTGTCTTTGGACAGGAATAGGAGACGTGAGTTATTTTATATTATATTTTTATACTCGGGTGTATCGGGTCATTAAGTTGTTAAACCAGGACTGGATATTTTATTTATACAAGGAAAAATCTGGTCATGAGCTTTGCACAGGGTTGGTCATTTGTGTGCTGGTTTATTACACACAGATCGTTCGGTAATTTACAGAGGTATTTACAGAGTTAATTTACATAGGTGTTCACAGAGGTATTTAAACATTATCTTAAATTGGCGTATTTATTAGCACATACAAAATTTAAAAAGGAGATATTGCAGTTTTCGAATTAGAATTCTAAGAATTCAATTGAAAATATGCATATTGTAAAAGTCAGAACTGTGGTCAATGTTATTTTTATGGATATGGTTGGATTAATGGATTCACTGATTACGCTTTCGTTGGTGGATAGTGATATGTAGGTTATTTTGCAATTTTGTAAGAATATGTTTATTTATTTTCAATGGAAGGTAGTTTATGATGTGTGTGAGATGGATGATGTTATTTTGTTGTTATGGACGCTATTATATAAAGTAGATAAGATGGATAACGTTAATGTTTCCGGAAGTTAACTTATTGAATAGAATTTCTTAGCAAATTGTGTCAGATCACTCTTGCATCCCTAGGTCTAACAAGCCCTTCAAGCCTTTTAACCCTAGGTTTTACAAGCCATTTAACTCCAGGTCGAAAAAACCCATTTAACCTCAGGTCTTACAAAACTTAACCCCTTGTCTTACAAGCCATTTACCCCTAGTTCTTACCAGCCATTAACCCTGTTCTAACAAGCCCTTCAATTCTAGGTCTAACAAGCCATTAAACCCTGGTCTAACAAGCCCTTCAATTCTAGGTCTAACAAGCCATTTAACCCTAGGTCTTACAAGCCCTTCAACCCCAGGTCTTACAATCCATTTAATCCCAGGTCTTACAAGCGATTTAACCCCAGGTCTTACAAGCCATTTAACCCTAGGTCATTGGTTCTCAACCTTTCCCATGCTGCGACCCTTTAAAACAGTTCCTCATGTTGTGGTGAACCCCAGCCACAAAATTATTTTCGTTGCTACTTCATAACTGTAGAGTATTTGTGTTTACAGATGGTCTTAGGCAACCCCTGGGAGAGAGTCGTGCGACCCCAAAAGGGGTCACGACCCAATAGGTCTTACAAGCCATTTAACCCTAGGTCTTACAAGCCATTTAACCCTAGGTCTTACAAGCCATTTAACCCTAAGTCTTACAAGCCATTTAACCCTAGGTCTTGAACTCCTTTTAACAGTAGGTCTTACAAGCCATTTAACCCTAGGTCTTACAAGCCATTTTACCCTAGGTCTTAAACTACTTTTAACAGTAGGTCTTACAAGCCATTTAAATCCAAATTGTACAACCCATTTAACCTCAGGTTTTACAAAACTTAACCCGTGGTCTTACAAGCCATTTAAACCTAGATCCTACAAGCCATTTAGCCCTAGGTCTTAAACTCCTTTTAACAGTAGGTCTTACAAGACATTTAACCCTAGATCCTAAAATCCATTTAACTCTAGGTTTTACAAGCCATTTAACTCCAGGTCGAAAAAACCCTTTTAACCTCAGTTCTTACAAAACTTAACCCCTGGTCTTACAAGCCATTTACCCCTAGGTCTTACCAGCCATTAAACCCAGTCTTTACAAGCCCTTATTTAAAACTCTGTCTTACAAGCCCTCTAATCCCAGGTCTCACAAGTCCTTTTAACCTGGGCATTACAAGCCAACGTTATGATTAACATGTAATAACTATGTCGGATCATTTGACTGTTCTAGAATGGAGGGTAGCCTTGGCGGAGGATGGAGTTCCAATGGTGGATGGCATGCTAGTGCCTCTCTTAGCTACACATTTGGTTGATACAGTGACGTCACAATCACCCCATCCACTACGAGGCTGTAAACTATTCCTTTAAACATGTTGTTGAAACACTTTGTAAAAGAATAAACAGTTCAGTAAAGGAAAACTAAGCGTTTGTTCTTGTTTATGTGTTTAAGCTGAACTAATGAAATTGATTTGTTCTTGTTTATGTGTTTAAGCTGAACTAATGAAATTGATTTGTTCTTGTTTATGTGTTTAAGCTGAACTAATGAAATTGATTTGTTCTTGTTTATGTGTTTAAGCTGAACTAATGAAATTGATTTGTCCTGTGATGTCCAATAGAAATAGATTATGTACGTTTTACCAAATGAGGTCCAAAAGATTCTGTAAGTTGTATCTCTACATGTCCAATTGAATAAATAGATTACGTAAGCTGTACCTCGTGATGTCCAATAGAATAAATATATTATGTAAGTTGTACATCATGATGTCCAATGGAATAAAAAGATTAAGTAAGCTATGCCTCGTGATGTCCAATAGATTAAATAGATTATGTAAGGTGTACCTCGTGATGTCGAATATAATAAATAGATTACGTAAGTTGTACCTCATGATGTCCAATAAGATAAGATTCTGTAAGTTGCAAATAATGATGAAACCAGATATTACTTCGTCACGAGGCTTAAATGTTTCCAGCAATAAGCTATTGTGATCAAAGAGTAATCGAGTTAAGCGACGCGGAATAATTCTTGTACCTGGTCTAAACATTTATTTTATATTTTAGCTCTAGTTAACTAATATAATTGTACCAAGTTTCTGGGAGCGTAAAAAATGAGTTGGAAAAAACAGGAAAGGGGAGGGGGCGGAGAGAGAGAGAGAGAGAAAGAGGACACACAAAGATTTATTTTGTTTGAGTCCAGGTCCATAGCGAGAATAAACCTTGGACCAACTATTCGTGACACGACTATTTAGAGAGAACAAAAATACCGTTCAGTGTGGACAGATTTGGCATTCGAATTATTTGCAGATGTGTCCTTGAAAATCCTTGAAGTAAATAATGTACAGGTATGCCTCTCACGAATCGATGCAAAACTCAGATCTCACTTAATCTATTTTTCTTGTCTTGTTATTAAAATTAAGTTTTTATTCCACGTTTAGGTTTATGATTTTGATGAAGATCTATGTTTTTGTTGAATTTCTATGGTTTTGATGAAGATCTATGGTTTTGATGAATTTCTATGGTTTTGATGAAGAGCTATGGTTTCGATGAATTTCTATGGTTTTGATGAAGATCTATGTTTTTGTTGAATTTCTATGGTTTTGATGAAGATCTATGTTTTTGTTGAATTTCTATGGTTTTGATGAAGATCTATGTTTTTGTTGAATTTCTATGGTTTTGATGAAGATCTATGGTTTTGATGAATTTCTATGGTTTTGATGAAGAGCTATGGTTTTGATGAAGATCTATGGTTTTGATGACGATCTATGGTTTTGATGACGATTTATGGTTTTCATGAAGATCTATGGTTTTGATGAAGATCTATGGTTTTGATGAAGATCTATGGTTTTGATGACGATCTATGGTTTTGATGACGATCTATGGTTTTGATGAAGATCTATGGTTTTGATGAAGATCTATGGTTTTGATGAAGATCTATGGTTTTGATGAAGATCTATGGTTTTGATGAAGATCTATGGTTTTGATGAAGATCTATGGTTTTGATGAAGATCTATGGTTTTGATGACGATCTATGGTTTTGATGACGATCTATGGTTTTGATGACGATCTATGGTTTTGATGAAGATCTATGGTTTTGATGAAGATCTATGGTTTTGATAAAGATCTATGGTTTTGATGAAGAGCTATGGTTTTTATGACGATCTATGGTTTTGATGACGATCTATGGTTTTGATGAAGATCTATGGTTTTAATGAAGATCTATGGTTTTAATGAAGATCTATAGTTTTGATGAAGATCTATGGTTTTGATGAAGATCTATGGTTTTGATGAAGATCTATGGTTTTGATAAAGAGCTATGGTTTTGATGAAGATCTATGGTTTTGATGAAGATCTATGGTTTTGATAAAGATCTATGGTTTTGATGACGATCTATGGTTTTGAAGACGATCTATGGTTTTAATGAAGATCTATGGTTTTGATGACGATCTATGGTTTTGATGAAAATCTATGGTTTTGATGAAGATCTATGGTTTTGATGAAGATCTATGGTTTTGATGAAGATCTATGGTTTTGATGAAGATCTATGGTTTTGATGAAAATCTATGGTTTTGATGAAGATCTATGGTTTTGATGAAGATCTATGGTTTTGATGAAGATCTATGGTTTTGATGAAAAGCTACGGTTTTGATGAAGATCTATGGTTTTGATGAAGATCTATGGTTTTGATGAAGATCTAGGGTTTTAAAGAAGATTTATGGTTTTAATTACACCATTTGAACAAAAACCAACAATTACAATTCCATGAATACCCACCCATTCAATTTTATTAAACGATATCACAGATAGTTTGCACGTTTAACGAGATGGGCAACAAAAACAACCACACTATAAATAATTGCCGCACAATAATCCATGGTCCTGCCAGGGTGAGCCATAAGTGAGGAGCATTTTAATGACCCCCATGGGCCAGGAAGATGTATTACTGAGATTTTGATTTTATGTTTCATGAACTATCCACAGGGATCAGTCTGACATCAGAAGAGCACAGATCAAGGCCATAAAGACTTGTAACTTTTTAAAACTTTTGAATGAGCTGAATAGCAACACAGTAGATATACAGTGGCGCTACTGTAGTAACACAAAACTGATCTAGAATGTATGAAAATAGATTTGCCTCCTTATTTTTAAAGTTTCTTTTCACTGGAGTCGGAAATATCTCACGACTCTGGTTCTGGACACAATAATGTAGTAGTAATTTAAAAAAATGTAGTCTTAAACCTGTCTGTAAATGGTTCAAAGTTTTGTCTCGGCCAGCTGACCCCGTAGTCTAAAAATAAGGCTTTGATGTGTCACGAGCAAATTATTGTGTCAACAAGCACACCATAAATACATGACTTACTAACACCCACAACATGCACACCAAATACACACTAAATGTAGATTAGGCATACACTATAATCAAGCCATAATAGCTACCACATACAAGCCACATCACACAACATACAAGACATAATAGCCAACTCACATCACACCACGTATCTAACACATGTACGATTTACCATACAATAAATCAATCTCATAAGGCCACATCCTACCACATTTAAGCCAAATTAACCACATACAAGCAATATCACACCACATACAAGCCACATACAAGCCACATAACACCACTTACAAGCCATAATAGCCACTACTTACAATTCACATTACACCACGTAATCTAAAACATGCACGCTGTACCATACAACAAATCAATCACTTAAAATCACATTACATCACATATAAGCCACAACATATCAAATACAAGCCACATTACACCACATGTACATTGCATGGATGGTCAAATATAAATCCTAATTTTATCGTAGCAAAACACACAAAAATCTGCATGTATTAATTACTTAATGGTGATACTTTTCTTCTTCCAAATATCAAAATCACATCGGCTTTCTTTACAATTTTTTTTTCTTCATTTATCAAATGAGTGTTTTAATTATCTGGCTCGATCAATCTGTGGTAGTTTCACTTCGAGGTGGATGTGGCTCCCCCGGTTCTTCACTTCGTGGCTTTTCAGGGCGTTCACGTAAGTAGAGGACAGAGCGGTACTTTATGAAGCAGTTCTGATGGTTTGGTTTAGAGCCTTCTAACCCCAAGTGCATGATTCCCTCACAAAGTGGCACAGGAAATCAATGAAATTTTCTCATCAACACCAGGCACAGAGACATTGCAAATCTCATCTACATGGATAGGAGCAAAAATGATCAATAAATTGATCGTGGGCCCTTAAGATATAGAAGAAGAAGAAGAATATCACTTCAAAGAGGAAGTTGATTCTCTGGTCCTATTCTTCGTGGCTTCTTAGGGCGTTCACGCAAGGTGACGAAACAGCAATACGATACAATGGGATCACTTCAATGGTGGAAGTGAATTCACCTTTTCTTTACTTCGTGGCTTTTCAGGGCTCATCGCTTATCATGACGTTCACAATAATAATTGTAGACGTTACGGCCGTAAATATAGGGCCCGATCCAATTTGGAAATGGATTCTTCATCCTATGTACCTCATGGCTTTTCAGGGCTCAGCACTTCTCAGGGCGTTCACGAAAGTGGATGATGCCAGTCACAACTGTACCTTCTGGGATACCTATTCCCTAGTACGCTGTGATGGGTGTGTGTGAGGGCTTCTCGAGGAAGTAAACGCCAATCAGCACGTGGTCCGATCATTGCGGGCGATAAATGATTCTTCCGAATGGATTCCTGGGAGGGAATCGAGGACTCGGGCCTCAGGAAACCGATTCCTTAATCCAGCTGCTAAGGCGCAGTTGAGTGTACTGCAACAATACAGCGATCTAGCAACCAGGCTATTTCGGAATGATGATAAAAGAAACGAAGGGAACAACTCGTCTAATGTTCTTAAGCTAACAGATCTCTTTCAAACAACAACGAATTCAGATCGAGGTGTCAGAGCGTACACGAATTAATTAGATTCATTCTAATCAGAATGATAATACATTAAATATTTAACCAGACTACATCCACAGTAATATAATAAATTTGAATAAAAGAAATGAAAGCGAAATGTTCATCCAATCCATGAATTTTGTTTGTGTTGAAAATGCTGCTTTGAGGTTCTGGAAGTTGACTGTGCTAACTTGAGAATCGGTCTTAAAAAGGAAGCTTCTAACTTTTACAACAGCCTTTCAAGTGAGTCTATCCTAATTGCTTATTTGACAATCACTACCATGTGATATGTGAATCCAATGAACTTAAAATTTCGATGCGTGATATTATTTCAATAATCACTCTACCGTGGCGAGATAAGAGGGAGGGGAGGTGTTTTCGTGTCTACTGTGTCGCTCATCCGTTTGTCAAAATAACGTTCGGTTGAGAGAGCGATCCACGTGGAGATCGGTGATCTTCGGGGAATAACCCGTCTTGAGTTCAAAAAGGGGGGGGGGGGTTAT